TTCATTGTATTTACTAGGTGTCTTGTTGGATAATGTTTTAGATTCGTGTCACATGATTTTGAGAAGTTATGATTTTTAAAAGCATAGGTCGTAGAAGTCCTAAATTTGCATAGTCGGACGGGAAGCAGTTAATAACGTCACATTTCATACAGGTCGTTGAGTGTGCAGACTCAGAAATGCAAGAAGAACGAGAGGAGGTTGGAGAAGAGGAAATAGACAATGGTGTCCATGGTAACGAGTCTGACATGGACCTAGACCTCCTGGCAGAGAGTGAAAGCGAYAGTGACGACAGTAACGTTGGCGAAGTAGAAAGCACTGTGCGGCGTATTCGTGTACCCGGTTCAGTTGTTGGCTCCGATAGTGCGAGCCTCGGTGAGCACGGAGAGTTCTACTCTGAAGAGGAGTCTTCGACAGGAGAGGATGACGAGGAAGAAGAAGAAGAAGAAGGAGATGAAAGGGAAAGGGATGAGAATGAGGCCTCGCAACCAGAGGTAGCTGACAACACCAGCCGAAATACTTCAGGTAAAAGATTCGTTCTGGTCACAATATGAAAATATTCACGATAACGGTGTAAACTAGCGGTAAACTAGTGTGTGCTGTGTCGGTGTTTCTAAAGAAAAAGTTGTGCAAAAAGATAAATTTAGCACCGTAAAAAAGTAGGTGAAACAACTTACTGACGTTTCGGACGTTAACGCTTCGTCGGAGTTAATCCTTCGTCCGATGAAGGATTTACGTCCGAATCACAGTCAATTGTTTAAACAACTTTTTTTACGGYGTTAAATTTATCTTTCTGCACAACTGTTCACGATAAASTTRATKATAGCGAAAGTCGACAAAACTATTATAAATGATGGAAAGTTGCAGTGCCCGGAATAAAGTTCTTTCCAAGCACTGTAAATCACATTATTTCTAGTCCATGCATTTCCCAGTGCTACGCGGTCCACTTATCGTATATTATGAACAATGATAGTGATGTATCTATCTCGGAGATACAGGGACTGTTGATTGTTGGCTGAGGAAGATTGGACATTGTGAATTTGGGGTGGGTTGTGTGAAGTCTGAATTTACTGCTCCGGGTAAATTCTTATCCACCTGATAAGATCCATGTAAGCAATTAATGCACGAATTCTAATCAAACAATCTTATTTTTCTCTCGACAGCCACCGAACCCCGYACCACCCCCCATGCGATGCAGTGGGCCATACGTACCAACCAACCACGCAGCACCGCAAGCACTGGTCTGGCCAGCGGACATTCTCTTGCAGGCTCAGGTTTTATATACGTGGATTCAGCTACCATCAGGCGTAGCGCTGCTGCTAATGGTGCGGCGGCAAGCACTACACCTCACACTGAAATCAGCAGCACTAACACTAGCGAAAGAATGGGAAACTCGAGTAGTGCTCTCGCTAGAGCGTTTGGTATCGTTGTTAGAGAGGTAGGCTGATATACTGTGAAAATGCAGTATTATTGAATTAAGAAATAGAGAACGGCCGTGCATATCTATGTCCTGCTTTATGAAAAACTTGGGAGGTAGGAGTCGAGAAATGCAAGCGAGAGCACTAAAGAAAATAAGAGATCGAGTGTCTCGCTTCTCGAGTGCTTCTACTCTCTCACCCTGTTTAATTTGGTTTGTAAAACAATGGACAAACATTAGATGATCTTCCAAACAATAAAACAAAATCTAACCTAACAATGAAGGTTCTGTTCTAAGGGAGTAATCAAAAATTAGATTTGAAGGGGTTTGTTATTTCTGAAACAGCGACCAAGCTTCTACCTGTTTAACGCTTGCTATCTCCTTTAAGTAATATATAAAATATCAGCGTGGGACCTTAATGGGTATTTCAAAACTGCGAGCTGCAAGCGAATATTTTTTATTGCTTATCAAATTTGAACATAAACTAAGGCATATTTTGCCAAAAACTTTAAGATAAAATTTTAAGAGAACATCGATGTTGAAGTTGTATGCAAATTAGGACAAATATTTTGCTCAAGCAAAGATGCGTTCACGTCAATGATATTACATTGTGTTAACCTTATGAATTATTAATGAATTTGATAATTTTCCATAGATTACTGACCTTCTAATCTTCGCACGTGACCCTACGTCATTGACAATCAGCACACTCACCCTACCCCCAACGGTACTCCGTGACTACTGCACCCTTGTTGACGACGGCCTCCAACCATGCTGGGATTGGTTACAGACTATTATGGACTGCACTGAGTCTCAGCTGAGATTTGGGTTATCGTTATCATCAGCTACAGATTCSACCCACCCCTCCCACCCACTCCACGAAGCGCATCAGAAAACTACAAGCAGAGATAGACGCACACGCGAGGACGCCGTGTTGTACCGCGCGTGGGAAGGCAAAAAAAGAAGGTAAATTAAGGATATGTTCCAATGTGGGTGGGGGCCCTCATTGTACACAGGGATCCCAAGAGGGCCGTTATGCAGACTATTGCAAATGTACCGAGCTCAAACCTGATCCGATAAAATATATTGTACAGTAATACGATACATAAAAATAAAATATATTGTACAGTAATACATAGCCTAGAGAAACTTGCATAGTTTCAAGTTGTGACAAAAGGCCTTTTGAGGCAATGAAAATACATAGGGAATTTCGAAATTGAGGCTTTAATTTGTCAATGAAATACGTAAACATTCTCCTTCGCGGTTCCCTGCGCCATCTTAAAAGGAAGCCGTGCCTTTGTATCGAAGCGAGACGACCGTTGAGCGTGCAATGATAGAAACCTTCTTTCACACCTACAGACAATTGTTTACAGGTATCTATCATTGCACGTTCACGGTTGTCTCGCTTCTATGCAAAGGCACGGCTACCTTTAAAGATGGCGCAGGTAACCGTGAAGGAGACTATTGGCAAGCAACTTGGTCGATATGCCATCATAATTAGCACTAAAAAGTGCAAAAATGAGGCTAAAGTACTCAAGACGCACCAAATATAATGATACATATTAGCGGTCAAAACCTATCCTAATGACTTATTCACATCTGTTCATTCGTTGTTGTTTTTGTTTTTTGTTTGTTTGTTGTTCAATAATTCATCTGCTCATTTGTTCATTTATTCACTTATTCATTCCTTTGATTGTTTCCGTTAGTATCCTCCCAATTTCCTTATGTATAATCGCGTCATTGTATCTTTATTATGAAGAAGACACACCACTGCAAGTGTCGGCACACCTGATGCCAGCTGCCAAGACTTTCTTCTCTACCTGCTCTCACTACTACGAGGTCAAGGCTGTGAGCATGGCGATACCCTACCAAAACTTGACGTATCTTCTCTTCGTCACGTGGCGTACGTCATGGATGCACTTATCTATTATCTAAGAAACAATCCTAGTGGTGTGTCGCATGGCAACATGTCTAGTGTTGATACTACAAAAACTACTACACCGGCTGTGGAAACTGTCAACGATGAAGAAGGTAATGGTATCTATAAAGAAAACATTCGACATGCTTCTATACATAGCTATTTCTAAAGGGCTTGTCGGATAAAATGGCGAACCATTGGTTTTGCAAGTTAATGGAAATTAAACTGATTTATGCGGTAGATAGTAATATTGGCTGCATTTAGTCTCTATTTTCGCTCGAGGTGAACACAGCAAATGAAACCTAGTGTCAGACAGCGTAACCATAGTCCCTTTCGGTCATGAAATATCATTGAATTGTACTCGGAATGATGTGGATTCCTTTTTTTTTCTATTGTCAAATCTACACTATATTGCGTTATTTAGCACTATTTGCTTGGTACAGCCTTTTGCAAAAATTATGAGAATTGTTGAAATATCTAAATATCATAATATCGAGTGCATAATATCAAGTGCATGATGGGTAATCCCACGCGATGCCCTTAGTCCCTTGTCTTTGTAGTTTAGCTTTTTTTTGGCGACAAACTTATCCATAGTTCTGAGCATTTTCTCGATGTCAACAATGAATTATTTTAGCAAACCCGCGTGTTCCTTACAATATATGGATATGGATATTATGATATTTAGATATTTAGGCAATTCTCATAATTTTTGCAAAAGGCTGTACTTCTCGCTTTGAGCCTGTATTTTCACTCTATCCCTCATTCCACTTGCAGAATTTGTAGTCTAGGAACTTTGATAATATGAATCACAAAATTTATTTCGTCCGTTCTTGTCTTTATTTTTACTATTTGTAAATATATCCAGTTCTTTACTTTTGTAAATTATATTCTAATCTATTATATACTTTTTTTATTGCACCCGCCAAGAATAGTTCAAACTAACTGCGGGTAGCAATATTGTTGCAAATATTGTTGTTATAATGGTCACGAACCTTTTATCATTTCAGGTAGTGAAGATATCGACGATGAAGACAGCAGTAGCTTACGTCGTGATGACGAATATGAAGATGATACCGAGACAGTAGAAGATGAACCAATGCCTACACCAGTAGCCGGTACCTTACATCAATTCTTTGTACGTACAGACTCTTCTACAGTACTTGGTTGTGAACCTCCGGACTCATTTAGTACGCAGATAGAAGAGGCACTGCCATTAGCCTGCCAGCCACACCTACTTCATCCCGGGGCACGACGGGAACAGCTGTTTGGGACTGGGTCCGAGAAGAATTTGTCTAGTAAGGGAAAGGAGTCGACGCGGTCGATGGCGTTATCGAGGCCTGAGATGACTATACCTAATATGGCTCCTCAAGAAGAAGCGGTTACTGAGATTAAAGAATCTCTACAGGGAGAGAAAGGTTAGATTTTTTGGAGTGTATTTATTCAAAGGTCTTAATACAGCCATTACTGATATTCAGGTTCATCTTATTCGCGACTTTCAAGAATGGCGCGATATGTCACGGTCAACGACCAGTGCACTGGGGACAAAGCACTAAAACGAGGTCTCAAAGTCTAGCCTTACGTATAGTAAACTTCGATGGTGTCTTGCAAGAGTGTTTTGCTATTCAAAGTTTTGGACACTACGTACATGCGATACTCGTAGTGATTTCTATATGGAAGGCCTTTGAGGTCTCGTTTCCATGATTTGTCACTAGTCCCCCGATATAAGTGGACGTGAACTGGCGCCATTTTTGAAAGTCGTACATAATCCGATAACGGATCATGTCCAAATCACAAGTAATAATTCTCTTGACAGACAATGAAGATAWTAGTGTTCCGTCGACATCAACAGCTRGTCCTTCCCAGGCCCTATCCGTACCTCGTCCACTDATAGCAGGTGGTACCCCAGCAAACTCGTTACTAGGCCGCTGGCGCTTATGCGTGGAATTATTTGGCCGATTATTCCTGGAGGACGTTGGTGCCGAGCCTTCGTCGGTCTTGTCAGAACTTGGACGATTTGATGTTAACGAAACTAAATTTAGACGTGAAATGGAGCGATTGCGTAATTCATCTCAGAGGGACTTAACAATMGAGGTATTGTTTACTGATTCTCTCTTTCATTTTTTTCTTGACGTAAACATCCTTGTACTGTGGAACCTCGTTAATCCGACCAACGAAGGAACACCGAGAAGTGTCCGTATTATGTTTCTTGACGTGAACACCGTTTTAYAGTGGAACCTCATTAATCCAGCCAACRAAGGGAMACCGAGAAGTTTCCGTATTGACGGTCGGGAGTAGGCCGGTATAACGTGATGGTCGTATTAAGCGAGTGGTCAAAAGGCGTGGTTCCACTGTAGTTGATAACTAAGAATATAAGCCAGTGAACTTCGATTGCAATTCTAATTTCATCTTCTACTTATTATTATTTTTCCCACGTTTTTCAGGTCGAGCGTGGTCGTACGTCAATCATCCAACAGTCCGTCCGTCAATTGAATAATCAGTTCGGCCGCCGCGGTCCTCGTTCTCGACCAATGACAATCCATCGGGTTAAGGTATCCTTTAAAGACGAGCCTGGTGAGGGCAGCGGTGTTGCTCGTAGTTTCTACACCGCTCTTAGTGAAGCCTTGCTATCCGGTGAAAAACTACCATCCATGGACTTAAATAGAGGTGAGTGTCGTATGTCGGTGGTAAGTCGGTTCTTTCGATTCACTTTCGATTCACTTTCGATTCACTTTCGATTCGATCCTTGTCCTTTCGATCCGTTAATGTACTATGAAAACTTTATGAGTCTCTCCTTTGCTATCGCGTAACGTTATTACCATACTGCCATAACGTAAGAAAGGTTCAGTTTGAAGCAGAAGAGAGTTACGTTGGTTTAACAGTTTACGTTCCGTCTCCACAACAATTTGACGCAACGTCTTTTCCACGATGCGTATCGCTATCAACGTGATCTTGATGCATTAATTTATTTCAAAACTTAACCGTTTCACGTTCATAGTTATACGTAAACTAAATCGCTTCACCGTTTGAGGTCCATAGCTATACGTAAACTAAACCGTTTGGCCTTTTGAGGTCTGTAGCTTTACGTAAACGAAACTTTTTGACGTCGATACCCCCAGCATTTGTATCGCGACTTTTTTTGTCATGTTGCGTATCGTTATTAACGTCATTGTTATGCATTCATTTATTTGAAGAGAAACAGTTTTACCTTAACTAAACTCTTTTGCCTTCTTGTTCACAGCAATTGCGCAACGCCTTCGCCGTGCTACGTATCGTTATAAACGTGATCGTGACCGTGATCGTGAAGCGAGAAGAAGACTATCAACCGATGCGCGACCGTTTAACTTTAGTGGCAATACAGATGGTGACGATGGCGATGGTGAATCGTTACCTTACCATAGACAATCGTTAGGAGAGAGATTATACCCCAAAGTACAYGCTCTGCAACCTGACAAGGTATGAATMGTACACAGAGCGTGCAATTTTACCGTTCAGCGGATTGTAGGRTGGGACGCTACACCTATTCCAAAAAGCGTTGTCGTCACCAGAACATAGTCCACAGTCTTGAATGTCCATAACATTTGATTCGTTATTTGTCTAAAGTCTAGAAATACCATTCTTCCCCTGCGGATATTAAAAAACCTTTTTATAAAGCAAATGACTTTGTAATCTTTATGTCAACAACGTTAATAGGATTTCTGAAAATAATGAAGTGCCATTCCTAAATTGAATTATTTACAAAATTTTTCTTCCTAACTTTATGTACATGTTTGTCGTATTTTAGAGTCTGGCCAGCAAGATAACCGGTATGCTATTAGAGCTATCGCCAGCACAACTACTTCTACTATTAGCGAGCGAAGACACGTTAAGACAGCGTGTAGAGGATGCTCTAGATGTTCTTTTATCAAGTGGAAAGTAAGTTCTTTGATCATTTGTGCTGGGTATCACATCAGTCCATTTAGTCATTCAGTGCGTGCGTTTCATGCGTGGTTTGCGAGCGTACTTGCTTGCTGACTGGTTATTTTCACCTGTATTACCCGCAGTTCACACTACAAAAAAGGCGAGAACAAAAAGAAAAGACCATTTTTGTGATATAAACTCTCACCTTGCCTTGTACTTTTCGAGTACATCCCTCGCAAGGAACGGATCAACAGGCAGATATGGTGATCGACAATACCGCGTCTTGACTGTAATGGAGCTCGTCAAGAGACTAGAACACAAAAGCTTTTTGCTTTATTTTTAATAAACATGGAAACTGCTGACGAAACACTTGCTTAGATTTGGGGCTTTCTTTGCGGACAGGACAATAATCTCCTTCAAGGTTCCCTGCGTCATCCTGAAAGGTTGCCGCGAATTTACATCGAAGCGAGACAACCGTTGAGCGTGCAATGATAGATACCTGTGAATAATTGTSTGTAGGTGTGAAAGAAGGTTTCTATCATTGCACGCTCAACGGTCGTCTCGCCTCGATGCAAAGGCCTGGCCAACTTTCAAGATGGCGCAAGTAACCGTGAAGAAGACATCATGACAATAGTCAACTTTAGATATTTTGGTTCGATGACTATGTACAAAAGAACGCACACGAGGCTCCGGGGAAACAATGGATAATCTTGATTTATTCTTTTATTTCCCCGGAGCCTCGTCTGCAATTCTTTTGTGCATGGTCACTGAACCAAAATATCTAAAGTCGACTGTTGACGACACAAAGAATGAAGACCCTTTAGATGCACTGTGTGTCTAAATATGGCCGACAATACCTAAGCCCACCTCCCGTGTGACGTTATCTCTCATATTCATATTTGTCTTTTTTTGTACAGAAAAGCTAATGTAAATAAAGATCAAGACGAAGAGTCAGGTCCAAGTCTGGACAGCGAGGACTCGAGTGAAGATTACACACCATTATTTTATCAACCAGGAAAAGTAGGCTACTATTCACCGCGTCCAGGAAGATGGACAGAAGAACGACTTAATTGCTATAGGAACGTAGGAAGGTACGTAGATTGCGTGACATCGTTRCGAACCATATATGGAAAGGTTGTGTTGCGTGACATTTTAAAGGACCAAATATGGAAAGACACGTGAGGACGCTGTTTTTCATTACATTGTAACGAACCAAAGTGTATCAGGTTTRTATTGTGTGACATTGTAAATTAGACATTGGAACAAGACACATGACCACGCTATTTGCCTTTCCGATTATGGAAAGATGTAACGCTCTGTTGTGTGACACCGTAACTCCGTTGTTTTTTGCGACATTGTAAATGAACGTAATATGGAAAGATGTGACAAGGTTGTGTTGATGCGACATTGTTCAGTACACCACCAAACACTGACATCTTATTTCTTTAAATTGAATTAGTTTTGAACTGTTTTTATTGAATCCGTTTACAGAATTGTTGGTTTATGTCTTTTACAAAACGAAGTCTGTCCGATGACGTTTAACCGGCATGTAATTAAGTACATACTAGGACGTCGGGTAAGTGCTCTCTCTTGTAAATGAACACCCTTGGTGAGCTCCCATATAGACTACAATTGTAGCTTTGAATGAAAGGCAATGTGTAGCGACGCCATTTTGTGCAGCAAAGCATGATGGGATTTTTGTCGCCGCAACACTCTATCTTCGAATTCTCTTTTGCGCAAGCTTAGCTTCAATCAAGCATACATTTTTATTGTCTTCTTTGTACACAGAGTGTCTAAATTACAATAGATTCTCTGATGAATAAAAGAATATATTACATAACTGCAGTCTCAATTCCTATCTCGCTTTGATGCAAAGGTTGTCAAGGTGTTAATACTCCAGTTTCGACTTCAGGATTGCTCCGTGTTAGCCTCAAACTCAAGTAACATATTCTTTTGTTTTATTGATTTGAAATATCACACTTTTATTCTCACAATTAGGAATATTTTGCGCACAAATGAGCCGCTAACACAGAGCATTGGAAAATTCGAAACTGGATTGTTGAAGTATTGGCGAACATTGATAATTATTAATATTCAGCTAATATTTATCGTACTTTATATTAACACAGATTGGTTGGCACGATTTAGCTTTCTTTGATCCAATGTTGTACGAGAGCCTGCGCCAATTATTAATGACCGCTGACTCATCGGATGCAGACGAGAGGTTCCAAGCCCTCGATCTTACATTCACAGTTCAGTTAACCACAGATGAAGGAGGTAGTGTTATCGACTTAGTAAAAGGAGGAAAGACCATTGCCGTCACCGCYAGTAATATCCAAGAGTATGTTCGGTTATATTCGGAGTATAAGATGCTGACGAATACCAAGAAGGCCTTAAAGGTAKGGTTGTATATTGAATAGAATAAACCTTTCGTACCGCTTGGTCACATGGTAAAAAATCCACCATATTGCATGGCAATTAGTGTGCATGGAGCTATAAACTAATCTTTAGTCAACCAAGAGAACAACTTTTGCTTCAAGATAAAAACTGAGCCATGGTACTAACGCCGAACTAAACTTTTAACCSGTGAAACAAAACTTGACTATTAAAGTGTGGTAGTCAAATGGACACAAAAGAAAACAATAAAATTATAACGTATACGTGTATTTTTGTAATATCTATTTCACGGGGATTTCGGCTTAACTTAATACAACTTTTAAKTATTAAAATACTTATAGTCAAGTAAACAGAAAAGAAAACAATGTAATTCAAGCGTACTAAGGTGTATTATGGTAAAACCTATTTTCACGAGTTTTTATTTACTTCACTCTATATTTATAGCTGACAATTTTTCGAAATACATACAGTTGACTCTCTTTGAACGAAAACTCTCGTAAGCGACCATATCMCGTAAGCGACCACCTTTTAAATTTCCCGTTAAAATTGTTTCCCATATAAACTCTGTAAAAAATCTCTCTCGTAGGCGACCATCTCTCGTAAGCGACCACTTTTGTCTGATCCCGAGGTGGTCGCTTACGAGAGAGTTGACTGTATTTTTCAACTTGAGATGTTTCTTTGTAGAGTTTACGCGAAGGTGTTCTAGATGTCATCCCKCCGTCTTCACTAGATAAYCTCACAGCAGAAGACTTCAGATTGTTGCTCAATGGCTGTGGTGAGATAAGTGTGCAACAATTGATGAGTTATACATCATTCAACGATGAAACAGGAGGTACGTTTATGGAAGAATAAAAGGATTGAGTAAAGTCATTCCAACATTTTTTGCCAAACAAAAATTTGCAAAATTATTAATTGTTTGTATGAATATCTTCTTGAAATCTGTTGCTTCATGATTATTAGACCAATATGGATAGGTCTATTTGATTTCCAAGTMTTTTCTAATGTTTCGCAATTTTCGTCCAAGTAGCCCTTTAAGGGACCTTTGCGCAATTTATTCACGCATGAAAATTGGTCAAAAGAAAAACCTCTGTAGTTACGTACCAGTAGAGTCCCTACAAATGTTGATTTCCGAACTTGAAGCATAGTTAGAGCTATTGTGATTGACCTCTGAACCTTTTACGTCACTACTTGACTTTTAAATACATTAAAACAATCAATTAAATCAGCGGTTATTCGCTTTCCATTCAAAAATGGAGTATTACATTCTTTAAAGGGTTGAGATKATATTTGTTAATCCTTACAAATGTTTCGAACAAGGTGCCGGGGCGGAGAAACTGTTAAAATTCAAAAAGTGGTTTTGGTCAATCGTCGAGAAGATGAGCAACAGCGAACGACAAGACATGGTGAGTGTATAGATGCGTGAGTGTTTGTGATTTACAATTTTTCTTCCTTCGCAGTTTACAGTGTTAAATAATAAACCGTAGATAGATAGAAAATGTACTGAATCCTTTCTAGGTTTGTCTACTTTGGTCTTTTTCTAAATAACACCGTCCAATACGTTCTTTCTTTTCGTACATTTTTCTCTTTGCTTGTGATTTACATATTTTCTGTTGCTGTTATTTGTTTAATTTGTTTTGTTTTTTTTTTTTTGTTTTTTTTTTTTAATTGTGTTTTTCAATGCTATTTGTGGCTTGTTCATCCAACATTTTGCTCTGCTCTGCTCTGCTCTGCTCTGCTCTGCTCTGCTCTGCTCTGCTCTGCTCTGCTCTGCTCTGCTCTGCTCTGCTCTGCTCTGCTCTGCTCTGCTCTGCTCTGCTCTGCTCTGCTCTGCTCTGCTC